TCTTTTCACCCAGCCGGTATTCGGTATAATGATGTATGCCTCTTTTCACCCAGCAGCTATCCCGTATAATGCGATATGTATCTTTTCACCCAGCCGGTATCCGGTATAATGCGATATGTATCTTTTCACCCAGCCGGTATCCGGTATAATGAAATATGCCTCTTTTCACCCAGCAGCTATCCCGTATAATGCGATATGTATCTTTTCACCCAGCCGGTATCCGGTATAATGAAATATGCCTCTTTTCACCCAGCAAGTACCCGGTATAATGAAATATGCCTCTTTTCACTCAGCAGATACCCGGTATAATGAAATATGCTTCTTTTCACCCAGCAGGTACCCGGTATAATAAAATATGCCTTTTTTCACCAAGCAGGTTACCGGTATAATGAAATATGCCTCTTCTCACCCAGCAGGTACCCGGTATAATGAAATATGCCTCTTTTCACCCAGCAGGTTACCGGTATAATGAAATATGCCTCTTTTCACCCAGCAAGTACCCGGTATAATGAAATATGCCTCTTTTCACTCAGCAGGTACCCGGTATAATGAAATAAGCCTCTTTTCACCAATCAGGTACCCGGTATAATGAAATATGCATCTTTTCACCCATCAGGTACCCGGTATAATGAAATATGCTTCTTTTCACCCAGCAGGTACCCGGTATAATGAAATATGCCTCTTTTCACCCAGCGGGTTACCGGTATAATGAAATATGCCTCTTTTCACCCAGCAGGTACCCGGTATAATGAAATATGCCTCTTCTCACCCAGCAGGTCCCCTGAATAATGAGATTGTTAATCTGACTGCTTGGGTAGCTTGGGTATACTCCGCAGAGTGCTGAGAATGAAAATCGAGTGAACGATGATCCAATGATCAGGATAATAATGGTTTGAACATACATGGGTAGGGAGTTCAAGACTATATATGAAGCTTTACTATTGGCTAGAAGGGTTTTTAATGTTGCATCCCAGTTGCCAATCTTGATGGTCCTTGAAAAACACACAACACGTTAACGCGAACAATTATCTCGATATGTCGTTTACGACGATGTAACCATATAACGTACATCAAGTTGAAACTCAACTGGGTGGCCCCTTCGTCTGAGGAGCCGCGGTGCAGAGTTGCGTCCCTTGGACACGCCAGAAACATATCATCATCGGTTCGAATCCCGGTTAGCCCCGATTATGTTTCTAGGTTTGTCAGCACCATATCCGTGCTCGTGGGTTTCACCGAAGTGGTAAACGTCTGAGACCTGCATCACTTCGGGCTTCCCTCCTACATTACGCTGACACGCCGTGGCGTAACTGGAATACTGATCAAAGCGGCGGTAAAACCCAACTCACTCACTCAAATGAACAACGTCGTAATGTAGCTAAAACACACTTTAAAGCGGAGTTCACCCAACTCACTCACCACAGACAATACAGCTTTTCATTTTGGCATCGAATGACCCCGTTTGTGAAATACCTCCTCGCCGAGTTATAAGCTGAAGAATAATCGCGAACAATGCCAGACAGTACTAAACAGCTGAGTGAGTAGATCTCCACGCTCGCCCCGTCATCACGTCTACATGGCTTGTAACTCCAGCATGAATACAATACCACACATATACGACAAAGAAACGTATCATCTCAGAAATCAGATACTTCTATCCGTTGTGAACATTTTTGGAAATTCTGAAGATGTGGGTGCTTATAGATACACAGGGACGACCATGCTACACGTCCCAAAGAGGATCAGGTTACCCGAAATTGCTAAGGCAGAAAGCAGCCTGTTAAACATTTAAAGCAAAATCTCGTTTGACTTAATCCCTCAAAACTTCTCTGCTAAGATACCTCGCTTTAGGCGTACCAGGGGTCCGGTCTACAAAGCGATCTTAGTGCTATGATTGTCGTAAGCCAATGTTAGAGTATGGGAGTTACGAGTCTCAGCGGTAAGATCGCTTTGTGGAACGGGGCCCGGGTTCCAATGATCGTGGGTTCCAATACCAACTCAACTTGATTATAATCCTTGGCTTGTCAGCAGCACACCCACACCCATATAACTGCATCTCTTTGAGTATTACCTTGTTTGTTTTTTGTTTAACGCCGCACTCAGCAACATTTCAGCTATATGACGGCGGTCTGTAAATAATCGAGTCCGAACCAGACAATCCATCGATTATCGATCCACGCAATTGGGATCGATGACATGCATCAACCAAGCCAGCGAGCCTGACCACCCGATCCCGTTAGGCGCCTCTTACGACAAGCATCGTCGCCTTTTACGGCAAGCACGGACTGCCGAAGACCTATTCTACCCCGGGTCGATACACTCCGAGTTTAAAATGACTTACAGTTTAAAACGTGTATCTCAGTTAATCTAGCAGATATTATTCCCTCTGATCCCTGGAGTAATTCAGACAATTTATCCAAGCTTAATCCGACTCGATCTCAACCAGGGCATGCCAGAGCACCATTTACATAGCTGCGTATTGTAGAGAGCTCCTCAATTTCTTTCTGTAGCGATTCGGCAACCTAACCCAAACTGGTTTAACGTAATCCGTAATGATAGGTGTATGTAATCCACCAAAGCCTTATATGAGGGGTACTCATGTAGGTCAATCGGAATGTACCAGGATGACCTGGTAGAGGGAGTTCCGAGGTAACCTTGATGGTCACAGCCAGTGAAACAGTTGTCAGGGACAACGGCTAGGGTTACAGGTAACAATAATAATGTTACAGAAATCAAGGCCGACAATTATTTTTATGGTTGTTGCAGGTATTAATAATAACAGTTCATGTTACAGATATCACTTTTGACTGCTTCTGTTACAGCTATCTAAAGCCGCTTCTGTTATTGTAACACATGTCAGTGCTAACCGTTATAGTTACAGCTATCAAAACTGTTGTTGGTGTTACAGCTATCACTGCCAACAACCATTGTAACAGACATGGACACCAACAGTTGATGTTACAGCTATCACGGCTACTACTGTCACTGTCAAAGGCTACTGGGACTGTAGTCCCTATTGATAGTCTGTCTAACAGACCCTGATACAAATATATCAAATACAGCCTATGCAAGTCTATAATGTTTGGCAAGTCTAGCTTACTGCAGTACAGTAAAACTACGGTTATAACGAACACGCTTATAACGAACTGGCGGATATAACGAACTTAGTTTTTAGTCCCGACTATGTGCTGTAGTTATGCTGTATATATGCTTATAACCAACTACAGTTATAACGAACTAAAATAGTAGTCCCTTTGAGTTCGTTATAACCGTAGTTTACTGTATCTGAAAATGAAGTGAGTTGCTGGGCTCCTTTTTATTATATTTTTATTGAGATAATGTAACAACTTTTTGTCTGTACGATATGTTTATTTCAGAGACAAGATGTTAGTCTCCTCCTATTGACACCAACACCTACTGATTCCACTATAATAATCATCATCATCATCATCATCATCATCATCTACTGTTGCGGTAGCCGCCAAGATATTATACAATTTTCGTAGGATTTGTCACCAAATATAGCTGCGCAAATAAAATGCTCACATACGGAGTTGAGGATGAATATCATTTCGTATTGATCTGTAAACATTTTATTGAACTACGTAAAGTTTATTTGCCAGAATTGCATTGGGAATTTCCATCTATAAATAAATTTAAAACATTGTTGTGTACAACTCAGGATGATTCCCTAAAACGTCTACAATATTATGTATATTATGCATACAAAAAAGACATGACGTCGTAAAATCCATGTAATGTGTTTCACATTGTACTATTGGCATTGCATTTCGTGTATATGGGCCAAAGGCTTGTACACAAATATACTAATTTTGACTTTGAGTTCAACCTGATGAAAACCAAATACATACTATATAACCAGCATACTGTATGAGTGAGTGAGTGAGTTGGGTTTAACGCCGCTTTTAACAGTATTCCAGTTATATCACGGCGTGTTAGCTTAATATGGGAGGAAAGCCCGAAGTGATGCAGGTCTCAGACGTTTACCACTTCGGTGAAACCCACAAGCACAGGTATGGTGCTGACAAACCTAGAAACATAATCGGGCCGAACCGGGATTCGAACCCATAACCCTAGGTTTCTGGCGTGCCCAAGGGACGCAACTCTGCACAGCGAATCGCGGCGCCTTAGACGACTGGGCCACCTGTGTATGATACTGTATGATACATCTGACCAATTTTAAATTCAGAAGGAAGCAGTATGTCCATGCTAAATTGTGTACCCTCTCTGCTGTCTCTGTCACTGCCTACCAGATGCATTAATGTACTACCTCTTATCCCAACCTGCACGTTATAGATACATGGCAATACACTATACATAACATTGCATATAAACTATACATTATGAATATAAACAATGTTCGATGTAATTATTGATGAATATTCGCAGGAAATGTATGTCACTGAAATCAATATCGTTAACCAACTTAATTTACGAAATGCTTGATAAAAAAACAAGTGATCAAGAAGAACAGGATTTTGTTTGCTTTTTGTTTAAGGCCGCACTCACTAATATTCCAGATATATGACGGCGATCTGTAAATAACCGGGTCTGGACCACACAATACAGTGACTGACATCATGAGCATCGCTCAACGCAATTTGGATACGATGTCATGCATAAACCAGGTCTGCGAGCCTGACCACCCGATCCCGTTCGTCGCCTCTTACGACAAGCATAGTCGCCTTTTATGGCAATCATGGGTTGCTGAAGACCTGTTTTACTGCGGTTAATCTCGGGACACACGAACAAAAGCACTGCTTCATGTGTGTACCACATATCAATAACATGAGACATTCTCCTGAAACGAATACCATTCAGATGAGCGTAAGCGTAATACTCTGTTTTGCATTTTGCATGAAATGTACATCACCACAGAAAATTTTGGGGCATAGGGCAATATGAATATGAGGTATGACGCACATGATATTAAAAGCATGTCACTGAAATGAACACAATATGCCCACAAGACATCTACTCACCTGAATCCCCATTAGGTAGCGAGTGGGAGAAGCTAGGTGCCTCGCTTGCCATGTTCACAGTGATGCCTTGTCTCTCCTCTCTCATAATGTTGATCCTGCGGGGCAGGTTAGGCTGGAGGTTATTGACAAAGGGAGCATGGTAGGTCCTCCCTCCCTCGCCACTCGACCGTGAATCTGCTCCTAATGTACCCCCATTGCTCATCGTAGCGTAATAGGGGACAGGGCGGCGGGGGCAGGGGCGATCCAGAGAGTTCTCCCCGGGGGTGGAGCTTTTGGCTGAGTACCTCTCCAGAGACTCCGAACCCGATTGTCCACTACTGTGCTGGCGGCCTACGGGCACCCAGCTGGAAAGAAAATACACGAGTGTTCATTTTATGATTGTTGGGTGTGATAGTGGGTGCTTTAGGGGTAGGTGGGCTAAGTGATTGGGAGGTAGTGTTGGTATTTCCTATTTACACTGCCTCCTAAAAGGAATAAATGTGAACAAAAACACACTGCTGGTAATTGGCGGTGGCTATTTATTGGGAGACTAGTGTGTCGTTTGGCAGGAATACCGCACTGCAGCTTTAGAAAACAAACAAATATTTACCTTTTACGCAAAATGGGAGAATGGTGGGGGGTACCGGTAAAACAAGACATGTTCATCATGTTCGCGAACACCTGGTGTCATTACCAGATTTCAGTGATGCATTCATATATTTGTCACCACGATTTTGCTTTTTACGCCCAATGGAATCTGTTTGGGCAGTTAATCGTTGGCTTTTTACATTATATTTGCTGACTTGCAATTTCTTCACAAAATCGACTAAGCAAAATAGATAATATATAAAATACAATCCTGATCCAAGCATAAAAATAAATAGAATCATGCATACTCACATTGCAACATCTATCCAGACCAAATCGAAATAATCAACATAGGCTAGACTCTTCAGAAACATGTACGTTACGTGTCTCTAACAGTAACATTTCAATAAAATCCCATCATAAAATCAACTTTGGAAAGCCAACGTGAACGCAATTTACCCAGACATAACTGTCCACCTCACAACTTTCAATAAAATTCCATCATAAAATCAACTTTGGAAAGCCAACGTGAACGCAATTTACCCAAACATAACTTTCCACCTCAAAACTTTCAATAAAATCCCATCATAAAATCAACTTTGGAAAGCCACCGTGAACGCAATTTACCCAAACATAACTTTCCACCTCAAAACTTTCAATAAAATCCCATCATAAAATCAACTTTGGAAAGCCAACGTGAACGCAATTTACCCAAACATAACTTTCCACCTCAAAACTTTCAATAAAATCCCATCATAAAATCAACTTTGGAAAGCCACCGTGAACGCAATTTACCCAGACATAACTGTCCACCTCACAACTTTCAATAAAATTCCATCATAAAATCAACTTTGGAAAGCCACCGTGAACGCAATTTACCTAGACATAACTGTCCACCTCTCCTGTAACGCAAAGTCAGCTAAATTACCACGGACATAAACACGTACTAACATACATAATATAGGTAAGTCAAGTATATACCTTCCTTCGAACGCCAGCGACAGAAATGTTCATAAATATTCACCAAGATCCAAAGCCCAGGTACGCCTCCGCCGGCAGGTAATAACTAATTAGAGATCCGGCCACAACCTCTAGCACAAAACCTGCTTGTTGGAACACTCCGGCATGTCAACAAAGCTGTATATGTGCAATTTATATGTCAACTGGTCGACCCGGCTTACGTATTCAGCCCGCGTGAAGGCACGTTGACGCTCTTATCTCTAGTAACTTATACTTGACTGGTCGTCATACAACACTTGTCCTCCTCATTGGGAGGGAGTCTAGAGAACATGCTCCTGTTATGTCAAGGTCGTTCGTGAACAATAGGCAGCACATTCTTACAAGGCTTCGTTCAAACCATGAGTGAGTGAGGGAGTATGGTTTTACGCCTCTTTAAGCAGTATTCCAGCAATATCACTGCGGGGGACACCAGAAATGGGCTTCACACATTATACCCATGTGGGAATCAAACCGAGGTCTTCGGCGTAACGAGCGAATGCTTTAACCACTAGACTATCCTACTGCTCCTTCTTTAAGTGAGTGAGTATTGTTTAACGCCGCCTTTGGTAGTATTCCAGCAATATCACGACGGGGGACACCAGATATGGGCTTCACACATTATACCCATGTGGGAATCGAACCCGGGTCTCCGACGTAACGAGTGAATACTTTAACCACTAGACTATCCCACTGCTCCTTGTTGAAACTATGAAGACCGTTTCTTTAACAGTTTAGCCGGCTTCTGTTTACTCTTTGAAATAGTGTTCGAGATATGTTTCTTTATCCGTGGTCAGCAAAAGTTCAAATATGTGAGTCAATGTTGTTTATTGCCGCAGTGAGCAGTATTCCAGCTGTACAAAGGCAACATGCAAATAATCCAGTCTGAGCCCAACAAGCCAGTGACTGAAAACATGCGCCACTATTCGAAAAGGCGACTATGCTTGTTGTAAGAGGCGACTAACGGGATCGGGTGATCAGGCTCGCTGACTTGGTTGATGCATGTCATCGATCCCAATTGCCTAGATCGATGCTCATGCTGTCAGTCACTGGATTGTCTGGTCCAGACTCGACTATTTACAGACCGCCGCCATACAGCTAAAATATTGCTGAATGCGGCGTTCAACAACAAACAAACAAAAACAAACAAACTAAAATTAAAACTCATTTTTAGCTTTAAGCTTTAAAACACATTAAATAATGATGGTATATTTCCATAAAGTAAACTCCGCTTTAAGGAAATCGGATATCACGAACACTCATCTATAACGAAACCTTTTCTAACCGCCTTAAGTAAAAATGCTACAGTTGATGTGAACATCAAACATCAGACTTTCGAACTGATATTGAGGAACCCCGGGAATTCGTTACACCCGTTGTTGGCTCGACTTTCCTTAGTTTGACCCATTCGTCACCACTCGCCCCTTTCCGTAACCTGCAAGAAGACTCGTCCCCCTATCGACGAATGTTATGTGCGAAAATACGACAAACCAATCAGAATGCGCGTATGATTTCAAGTTCTTCGTCAAAGAATCCCTCAGAAACAATTTTTAATTTATCATACGTCTTACATCTAAAAATATACCAAAGACACAGTTAAATGTGGTCAATCATACTGTAAAATCCCGCATGTGCCGATGTGCGTTAAACTGCATCTAAAATATATATAATATATGGGAAAATATATGTGAACCATTACGCAACGAGTTGACAATTGTTTTAGGTATGCCCGTTTGCGCTAAGACGGAACCCGGTCGCAAAAATGGCCGTGAGAGGGGCACGAGTCGCTATTCGGCTTGTCCCGGAATGACACGAGATGGTCACGAATGAGTTTGACCTTGATAACTTGCCTAGCTGTTGGCTTGCGATCTTTCCCGCGAAACGAAAAAAGAACGAAGTTCATATATAACCAACTGATGCTTAACCCTCGGTGTTCATAATATCTAGTCTGTCTCACAGTCTCTGAACCAAATTATTTTCCCTTCCGACCAGCCTTTACTGTAATGGTATATAAATGAAGCAAGTCTAGATTTTCCTCAGGTTCAGGTTCTGAATCTCCCATCTCCCCGAGGCTTCTTTTCAATTTAAAGGGAGTTGTTTGTTTCTAAGTGTTAGTCTGGTAATATCCGGATTTGACGACCCTGTCAGCATAACCACTTGGATGCCAGTGTGACGCCCCCAGAGCACAGGTGCGTCTGGCTGTGTGGAGTTCTATCCCATCGAGGTCGGACTGTACATCATTCCTCTCGTCCACTGACCCTTATATTAATGAGCCATAAATGTTGAGACCAAGTACTGAGAAAAACAGAAGTTCGCTCGGTTTGTTTTTACACCTCGTTCCGTTTATTTTTCTGCTCGGTTAAGTTCTATTTTTAAACCCTTGATTCCAAAACCATCCTCTATTTGACACCTTATTGGAACCCGAGACGTATGAAAATAGTGAGACACCGCTAAGTTCGTTTCGTGAGAAAATTATTCCCGATTTTATGATAACCCTACAGTAAACACAGTGCTGAAGCAAAGACCTCGATATCAGTCACGGAGTCATGCAATAGTCAGCCGATCAGTGTTGTCGATTTCTTGAAATATACAAAGGCGTGTGACTACAACATATTATGTCCGTCCCTCAGCTGATGACAATCGTCTAAACACTTACAGAAATACCTCTCATGGACGTTTACGGACATCATTCAATCTGATTTTCATGGGCTGCTTTTAACAAGTACGCGAATTTGTTTTGCATTGCTTTTTTAAAATCCCATTTCTGGTATTTAAAAAAATAATCTACCCTTGCACGAAAACTCGGCATATATCAAACGTTCACGATAAAAATCAAACATACGCTTTAGAAGCAGTGGGGTTCATCTGCGTGTCAAATATTCATGAGTTAAAATATATAAAAAAATCAAAAATGGTACATCATAAATACTTTTTATATCAAGTTTATTATCAGTTTATGTTTTAGACGATAGGTTCAACGAGCTCTGATGACATTATGAACATTTAAGTAGCCACGCAAAGCCATGTTTCCTGTGCCTATCAGTGGTGCCTATCACTGACATCCGTCATGTGGCGGGGAGCTGAGTAGTGTTCCTGAAAGATGGCAGTAACTGCCAGCGGTGCTTGTGTGGGTGTTGTTCCGTGCTTGATGCATTCCCTTATACTGTAATAGGTCACTGTCACTGCTGATGACGGCGATGCTTGATAACGTATGAAGATGTAGTAGTAGTAGTAGTAGTAGTAGTAGTAGTTGTTGTTGTAGCTGCAGTAGTAACGACAGCAGAATAGTAGCAGTGGTAGAAATAACAGTATGGTAGTAGTAGCAGTTGTAGAAGTAGTAGTAGTAGTAGAAGTAGTAGTAGTAGTAGTTGTTGTTGTTGTAGCTGCAGTAGTAACGACAGCAGAATAGTAGCAGTGGTAGAAATAACAGTATGGTAGTAGTAGCAGTTGTAGAAGTAGTAGTAGTAGTAGTAGTAGTAGTAGTAGCTCCATTAGCAGTAGCAGTGGTAACAGTAGTTGTAATAGTAGTAGCAGCAGCAGAAGTAGTAGCTGTGGTGGTAGCAGGAGTAGTAATAGTAGGAGTAGTAGTAGTAGTAGTAGTAGTAGGAGGAGTAGTAGTAGTAGTAGTAGTAACAGCAACAGTAGTAGTTGCAGCAGCAGTACATGTAGTAGTAAAACTAATTATAGAATGAGCATTATAGTAATGTCAGCAGTACACGCAGTAACAGTGGGCAATCAGCAACTAGTAGCCGTGGTGACAGTAGCAGTAGCAAAGGTAGTA